TCCACCAAAACAAGTCTTTATGAAAAGAATCTTTTGCAGCCAAAATTTGATTGTGGGGTTTGGGTCATCTGAAGATACAGTGGGAGGTTTTGGTGGCTAGATGAGATGCTCTCCACTAGAAGTGGGGCAGGTGTTGAGCTGGAGAGCTTGACACAAGAATGCTGGAGGTTGCTGGTGCTGGGTGGTGCTCTTTTCTCCCTCCTCCCCACACTCACCTAACACTCAGATATGAGGCCTCACTGCTCCAAAAACCTGACACTCAGAGGTTTGTAGGCAAGGACTAACAGGGAGGAGAAAGTGTAGGGCTGTTACTAGATTTGGGGACAGGAATGTTTGGAGCAGAGCAAGAGAGGCTCTGAAGAATGTATGCGGAAGTTAATTTTTGTATTGCTTACAAGATAGCACAAACATATGAGTGTTGATTTGGGAAACTGCTTTTGTCTGGACATCTTGCATCTGTCCAGAGTGGAGCTGGCTGTACTTTAAGATTCTAGCATTCAAGTGGCTCTTTGTACAAGCAATTAGAACTTAATCCTGCCCACAGTCCATCTGGGCAAACATCAATGTGCATCTTGCAAAGTATGTGTGCAAACAAAACTGGTTTAAAACATGGTTTAAAAACCATGAAATACAGGAAGACAAGGCTGATTATTAAGGGCTTGATCCTGCCCTTAAAGGTAACAGTGAACAAAAATCCCTAAAATGAGGGCTCCCAGTGCATTCAGAAGAGGAATTCTGGATGTCCTTGATTCACAGCATCTATCATGTTAACGATTTAATCTGATCCACTATAGACTCTATAATTGTCTACAATGGCTCAACATATTGATGTGAAGGATCCTGGTTGTCAGCTTTGAATACAGCAAACCGCAAAGGTTATTACAGGTCAGAATTCTAGACTAACAGCGGCTCCCACAGTCTATACCAATCACATTTCCCACTTGACTCTGAAATATATCAATATAAAAAACACAATTTTCAAAAGACTAGTGGAGCTATAATTTTATTTCTAGACTACATCAATGAACCTTAATTACAGTGTATTCCTAAATAGATAATTTAGTTTTCAAGGGTGACATATTTAAGTATAATACTTCAGTTCTAGTGATGCAAGCACAGCTAGCCTTTTTCAGTAGGCGTATGCCATGCAGATGTACTTTAGCTTATTAAAAACACCAGTGCAAGTGCAACCTTGGTAGATTCTTCCTCTGTGCCCTCCATTGCAAAGCTGTTTTGAGGTGAAAGGCCATGCAAACTGTCGAGTGACCCAGTTAACTCTTGTTGTGAAGCTCCCCCAGGGAGAACCGTCTGCTGTTGTCCTAATTTATTCCATTAATCACAGCCCAATACAAATCGCATTAACTATAACAGGCCAGTATTAGAGAGAGAACCAGTCCACAAGAATTATGTTATGGTTGTCTGCTTTCCACATCCCCTTATTAAACAGCAAAGGCTACAAAATCTGTATTTGCAACTAGTGGGCATCCTTTTGGAGAAAAGGGCAACTGACACACTACTGTCCAATACTAATGATGTACAACTAAGGAATTTCATGGCTCAGGCCCCAGAAAAGTCCACTCCTGTTGTCTCAAATCCTGCTGGGAAAAACTTACTAGCAAATTGTAACACTCCAGCTAAAACAGGCTTAAGTCCATTGATTATTTTAATATAACCGCTAATTTAACCTCAATCCAAACTGGAAAATACTTAGATTTGTTTTACATGAGACTCTCAGATAAGAAAAATATAACTATTCCCCCTTTAAAGGATTTAGAGGGCTAACACTCCTCTTGTCAATTCCACATGACAAAACAATGTGACACAGATATGGAGAAGGAGATATTCCAGATGCCATGATGTTTATTTTTCAGCATGTATTTGTCACGTCATTTCAGAGTTCTATGCTCCTCCAAGTCAGCTCTGCCCTGCTCCACCATGTGGAACTGACAAGAGGCAACAGAGCACTATGGAATAGCTTGCTAATTTCAGTTTCCTTTATAAAAAAAAAAAAAAAGTCTGACAAATCTAATGTGAAATTCAGGGGGTATTCTCCTGTGGTTTTAGTTTAAATTAAATTAAACACTGTCCAATTTAAATCTACGTACTTTTTAAAAATAAGAATCATACATGGTACACATATACCTACTTCAGCTACGGAATGAGACTTGGAGAGGTAGGTGTTAAGTGTACTATTGTGCTCCTAGTTCCTATGAACCCACCTCAAAAAACCACCACACAATTTGGTACTCTCTGCTCATGTCTGGAGTAACGGGGGATACTGTAGGTAAGGCCTGAGGTGTTCTGGCAGAGCTTGAGGCAAAGCTTGCACACTATCCAGATTACACTATGCTCAGCTTTATCTGGTACGAGACATACTTCACTGGCACAAACCCTAAATTCACTCACGAATTATTTGTGGTAGGATGAACAAGACACCAGCCAACCAATGCTGAACAGAGATTTTGAGATATTAAAAATTTACTGACAAACATCAACAGTGCTGCCCAATCTTTACTGAATGTTTAAAGATTAAAATCTTTTTGCATTTTAGTGGGTATATAGCAGAGTCCCTGCAGGCACTCTGCAGTAAACCAAATGGAAGAAATAAGAGCAGCTATGCTGCAGGGTCTAAGGAACTAAATAGAAAGCTAAGTTATACAACTTACATTCTCTATTTAAGAATCGGATTTAAAGAGAAGTTAGTTTTTAGTGGAAAGGGGATTCAAACAGGGATTTTCCATGTATTCTAGGAGGTTGAAACAGCCCCACAGCTTCTACACATTTGTGCTATAGAGGACAATTTTTGTAGCATGAATAATCATAGCCTAAAATATTAGCCTTGTATGTCAGAGTATCTACTAAAGTAACTCAATAAGCAAATGCGTCCGCATATTAGAAATTCAGCTTAACTGTGACAGTTACAACTACATTAGAGTTTTTAAAAATCTAAGAATGGCCCAAACTATGCCACACAAAAGCACCACTAGCCAATATGCATTGTCCATGTGCAGTTCAGGTCTAATGACACAATGTTTTTTCATCATTACTGTTGTCTAACTCTATACCCAGAACACAATCAGGCAGGAAGTCATGAAAACAGAGTGGAAATGAAGAAAAAACATTATGTAATGATTCCCCCCCAGCAGGGTTGTTCTGTACTTACATTTTGACAAAGTCATACAATCCAGTTGGTTTTATCATAACTTCCAAAGAGATGGAAGGCATTATGTCTCATCTGGTCTGAACCAACCTTACTACCAGTGAGGTCAATGCAGAATTGTTCCCTCTGGAATATTTAATTGTTTTGCTTAGTCTGCTTTTATATCTCCCAAGAGATGGGGTTTTCATTTTGAGTCTTGTAAATGGGAACATATGAAGTGACATTCTGGATCTGAACCAAAGTCCATCTTGTCCAGTATCGAAGGCTTCAGAGGTAGACGTGAGAACTCTGCAGTAGGCAGATGTGGGATAATCTACCCCCTAGACTAGGTTTCATCCCAACTGCTGATAGACATTGGCTTAAACCCTGAAACATTTAATATTCCTTCGTAAATGGTTAGAATTTGTTATGACAACTCTGGATATTCTAATTACCTAGATAAGTGCCCAATCCCTTCTGAATCTTGCTAAGTTCTTAGCCTCAACAACTTCCTGTGACAATGAGTTACAGTCTAACTACGTTTTGTGTGAAAAGGAATTTCTTTATCAGTTCTCAATTTCCTGACTTTTAATTTCACTCAGTGTCCTCTAGTTCTTGTTTTATGAGAATGGGAGAACAGAAGCTCCCAATCTATCTTTTGTAGACCATCCATTATGCTATATACTTTTATCCGGTCTCCTTTTATTTCTTACAATTGTGCACATCAGTTACTGTGTCAATAAAGTATTGTTTGGTCTAACACACATTTAACAACTACCAATGAGTCATGTCAGCTACCTGTTACTTATACTTTTATATAAATGTTTAAGATTTTTCCATCAGCAAAAACTGAAAACTTTCTATATTAAAATATTAGCAATAGAAATAAATGGGCGACATTTACAATGTAGTCCAAGTTCCCTGCAGAAAAGCTGTATATTATAAAAATGTTTATATTCAAAAGACTCTAAATGCTATTGAACACTAACTTCTAATTTTGCTAATGACAAATGTGTCCTACCTTTAGCTTCAACATTTCGGGAACTGTTAAAACAAAACTGATTTATGATAAGCCATATGCAAGACTTATTGCTGACAATTATTTGTTCTATAATTGTCTAGGTCGCTTTCTGACCTAAAAGGGACAGAAGTAGTGCGGGTGGCACCAAAGAAGAGAGAGAGGGTATATTAAAGACTAACAGATTCAGGTTTTTACTGTATTCTATATAGAAAATATATATGCTTGTTTCTCGCTGAAAAAAAGTACTAAAGATAAACCTGATCTGCAAAAATTTCTGCATTCAAAACGTATGACCTACCAAGCTTCTCTGGCTCATCTGGACCTGTTCCAGCAATGCAGCTGCTCTCTAGTCCATATGTTGGATCCACCTTCCCAGAGGTTCTTGCTGCCTCCTGCACTTTCTTGACATGGGCTTCAACTAGTTCCAATGGTACCTCCTCTCGGACCCGAGAAAACTCCTCTGTTAAAGAATTAAAGAGAAAATATTATGTCGTCTGCATGTCACATGTCACAAATAATCAGTTTTCACAGACTCACATATAAATAAATACAATGACAAAGTGAATTTTCTATGTGTTCTGAAGTTCCTCCTCACTTATAACATAAGGAAGCTCATTTCCTCCCTTAAATGTGGTAGTTAGCATAGTTAGAGTTAACATCTCTTCCAAACCATACAAATGCAAACTAGCACATTTATTCTATCTACAGAAAATAAGATAACCGGTTACTGAGTATGCAAGAACTATTCTGTCCAATCACAATTACGTAACATAACCAGGAAAGCAACACGTTAAAATTAATAGAACCAAAATCGACAGCTAGGATCTTTGTTTATCTTTTTTGTACAAGATTCCAAATAAGTGATTTAACACTGTAGCAGTATTTGTTAATGTAATATACATTTAAACAAAATGATGATAAAAAGTAATCATGGGCACTTATGTAGTGCTTTACAAACCAATTAATAGTTCATAGAATCATAGAAGTGTAGGACTGGAAGGGACCTCAATACGTCATCTAGTCTAGCATTAGTAAAATGCAAAACAGACAATAACCATACTGGTAACTCCTCCCTGAGTAATTTTATAGATATTTGCTTCCGTTTTCAACTTATGTTAGCTGCGTTTTGAAGGAACACTAAAGATAGCAGCTGATCTTTCTAAAGCTCAGGGAAGCCAGCAACCAAGCACAAAGTCACACTATGTCAGACAAAATCGTAAGGAAAGATAGCCATAGTGACCCCATACCTAAAGCAGCTTTAGCTGCAGCTGATGCCACCCGAGGATCTACCACAGATGCCAAAAAAGCAACAGTGCTCATCACCGGGTTTCCAGACTGGCTGAAAGGTACAGGCTGGTAAGCCAATGGGCCTAAGGATGCATCAGAGTTCTCCAGATAAGGGTCCTCTATGGGAAGTCTCAGAAAGTGGAGAATGCATTCATCCTGGGTGCGACTCCCAACGTGCTCAGAGACTTTATTCCAGTCATCTTTGTACATCTCCAGAGCCTGCAACAGAGGAAGAGGAAGGGTAAGAATTGTTTTGCAAATAATGCTGTGTATACACAAGTTTTTTTTGTTCTCACCACCATCCATTCTGGTGACAAACAGAACAGTGAATCAAAAAAGGGGAACTATGTAAAAGGGAGTATATAAACATTGATTTTTTCATAAACACTTGTTTAGACAGTTGAGGGCCTCCCACTTAAACACCAAGTTGAATTTATGGGCTATGGGAACTGGTAAACAGTATAATTCTGGTCTTTTATTCTGTGCTCAAACACACAAGTCTGATTCTCTGTTTGCTAATTACCATCTCAAAAACTTGAAAGACTTTACAAAACAATTGTTTAATTTGTGAGTCAACACAACCTATAATGAGATTATCTAAACACATCAACATTTGCAACAGAATACAGCAAAGGGGAGTGAAAGAAATGGAAGTTATTGTTAGAATTCTTCTTCAGAAATATTATCTCATGTTAAAGGGACATCATGAACTTGAAACCTCGTTAATTAAAACAAAATTAAGTAGTTTCATGTACTCCTACCAATTTTTTGGTTTGACACATCTTATTGTCTTAACTTTAAAAGTGTTTCCCTTTCCTTGTTGCTGTGTGAAAGACTAACACAAACAGGGGAAACTGATCGACTATACAGGGGAATAGAGTGTTGCTTACACCAAACATATTAGTTTCATTGTTCCCTTTTCCCTCCCAGACCTACACCCTCCATCACGTTTCTCCTCATGTTCTTTCTCATCATATGCTAAAACTATAAGCCGTTTGGGGTAGGGTCTGTCTTATTTTATGTGTGTACAGTGCTAGCACAATGGGGCCTGGCCCTGAACCTGATTGGTGCTACTACAATGTAAACAACTGACTGTACACAAAGTGCTGTCAGCTGCACAAAGCAAAACATGAAAAGATGAGAAAATGATTCTTTCCCCCATAATCTTAGTTACAATCTACTAAAAAGGTAGGTAAAAGTTTTCAAACAGGAGTTTGATTTTTAAATTGATGGAATCCTTGTAAGTTTTCAGACTAAATAATTTTGGCAGCATGGAGAAGGATACCAGTGATACAACCATGAAATGAGCTATAAAGATAAGTTTAATTTTTCTCAACAGCCTAGAAATAAGTCTACAGAACATTCTTGATCACTGGCAACTAGACAGAATACATGAGTTGGAAGGTGAGGATCTTGGTGTATCAGAAGCAACAGATTGTCAATGTGGCTATATTTACAGAGCACCATCTATTACACTATAAATGGTAAGGAAAATCCTGCGTTCAGGATTGAAGTATTAGAATGTAGTGTAGAGAGATTATTAAATCCCTTAATCAATCTTTGGTAAGAGCAGAGGTATTTGAACCACATTAAATAAGTCTACTTTGTGGACAAGATCTCCTGCATCTGAAATAATTTATCAGAATCCCAAGTGATGGGGACTAGACACTGGACCACTGATATACCAACTTTCCCAGACCTTGGTCCAGTTATACAACAGCAAGTCCTTGAAGAAGTGGAAGAAATTCAAATGATGACATGCGATTTGGATTCCCGCCAGTTGTGGATAGCCAAAAAGGCAAAAAGTTCCTTGGGCAAAATGAAACTGCCTTCCTTTACAGAAAAGTCAGCTATCTGCCTTAAAGCATTCTATGATCTGATCACTACCTTAGATGTTGATCACTGTCACCAAATTTAGAGAAGCCGGGGAACAGCCATCTCCCAACTACACCTGCCTCTGCCAATATCCAACACTCTTTCCAATTGGGTGTTTAACCCATAAGAACGGCCCTACTGGGTCAGACCAAAGGTCCAACCCTAGGATATGGTACAGAAGCTGCACTGACGGAAGATTTCCTCCTGGCCACCACATGCACAAAACCAAGATCCATACTAAGATTCCTTGGTCATCTCTCATCAGCTTTCAACACAGCTGATTATGAGATGCTGCTGGACCACCTTAACTTTGCAATGGTGAGCGCTAATGTTATGAGTTGATTCAGATCCTTCCTCTGAGTGATTTCACTGATCCCTCATTTTCACATCTAGAACCCTCAACTGTGGAGTAATACAAGACTCTGTCCTCTATTCCATCACACTGAATACATATTTAAAACCACTAGGGAAGGCAATGAGAAAATACAGCCTCACTTATCAACAGCATACAGATGTCACCCAGTTCTACCTATTCTCCTCCCAGAATGTCCCAGTGCCTAAATGGTGGGTCAGCATCTGAATGAAAAGCACCAGGAGAAGATAAACCCAGACATGATGGAAACAATGCTAGTGGAAGATGGAAGTATTCTGAAGATCCAGTCAAATTTGTCACCAATCTGAAATGACGGATCTGTCCTCCATTCATCAAAATAGTTTGCAGCCTATTGATCCTCCTAGTTCCTTCTTTCACGGCTACTGGATTCACAAATAGTGGTATCTACCAGACCATCTTCTTCCATCTTTAACAGGCCACGACTCAACAACCTACCCAAATGGATATCAATTTAGGCACAGTATTCCAATCCTTTTGTAACCTGCACGATGGACTACTGAAATATACTGTACCTGGAAACTAGTGCCTTGAAAAAAAGCTTCAACTAGCCCTAAATGCAGTACCCTATCTTCCAAACAGATAGATGTGAGCCCTTCACCTAATCCTGTGGATATTACACTCCTCACAAACTTATCACAAGTTCTTATTTAAGGTTCTTGTTAGAGCACTCAGACTGGGCTCAGACTACCTCAGCATTGACCACTCTCTCTACATCCATGACTTCCCATGACAGTTACATTACTCAAAAGACTCGATTACACCCATTACAAAGACGAAAGTCTAGAGCAAGAGAAATCAGCAGCCCAGCAGCTTTTAAACTGCCTGCCACAAGACATTCAAACTACCAGAAATGTCTTCACCTTCAGGACAACATGCAAGATTTTCTGGTTTACATTCCTCCCTCCCCCATACAAGATTTACACAACCTTTCTGCACAAGCAGGGAAGAGGAGAGACCCAAAAGGTAGATCAGCTTTAAAATAGACTACTTGACTTACCGATTTCCACAAGGTACTTCCATAACATGGGGATGGGTGCATCAAATGTTTAGATAGAATATTCTCTTGTGAGAGCTCCAAGACACACAAGTGCAAAAAGTAAAAAGATATTGGAAGTTTTAACAGAGGTGTCAAGGACTAAATGGACCAGAGACCGAACTATACTTTCACCCTCTGAGGCAGTTACTCCAATTTAGGACTAAGGCGAGGGAAGCTTGTACAAGTGTTGAATATGCTGCAACTTGTCCTGTGGGTAAAGAGGACATCAGTCTCCAGGACTATAAATACAGCACCTTGCACTAGCACTATACATACATTTTTTTAAATCTAAGAAGTCTAGAATGAATTGCTTTCCAGACTGGAGTCCTGCCCTCATAAGCCTGCAAGGAAGTGTTTTCGCAGCTGCAATAGCCTCAGCTATAATTGTTTTCATCAAAGCCATGGTCCTCGTCGGTCACACGGCACTTTGGGCTGTCAAGAATGCTGAGTCAGCAAGGAAAAAAACAAGCTGAGGAGCACTCTGGAAGATGTGAAAAGAGACTAGCCAGATGGAGAGCTGAGCTGAAAATTGAAATGTTATAGATTTGTTGTGCATTGACCAACTTGAAGAAATACATCCACACCAGGTGGTGACCAGATATTTGTCATTCTGGAGGTCTCTTTACCAAAGATCGGTTGGGACGCAATTTGTCCCCGATATTTCGCTCTTCGGGCTTTTTTGCGCTCCGCCAGCGGACCCACCCCTCCCCACCTCCCATGTGTCCTGATATTTTCTTCCTCTCATCTGGACACCCTACCCACACCATGTGGCCTAAGGTCTTGTTTTGTATGATTGTTTATAAGTGGTTTAATTTTGCCTTGTTGAAACGTTTAAATCGGTTTCTCTTGCAGAGTTTAAAACTAGTGTAGCTCGACGTAGTAAAGAGATCTCCAGAATGACCTCAGTCCACTGCTGTACCCTCCACCCAAAGTGTAGGAAGCAGGATTAGGTGGGCAAATGCAACACAAACAAAATTCCTATTTAATACTTCAGAGGAGAGCAAATGTTCTCTGTCACTATAACTTAAGAAGCCAGAAGGGGAAGGGCAACATGAATTATGAAAATGTCCAAGACCATAAACTAAGCAATCAGTACTGAAAGCTAAGGTTCTTTTAAAAGATACCATGGAAAGGAGAAATACACCCAGGAAATCAGAGATTCTATCTGGTCATCTGGTCTTTATGGTATTGTTATCCTGTGCTTTGTCCAGTCCAATTTTAAATGTCCCAAGCAATGGGGCTTCTGTTACTTTCCTTGGAAAACATTTCCACAGTTTAGAAGATCTCAGCATCAAGCAGAATTTCCTTATATTCAGGCTATAGATTTCTTTCCCTAATTTAATCTAATTACTGCTGGCTATACCCCCCTTTTATCACGTTAGAAAGCTAGACTGGTTGTATTTTTGCATAATACGATTCAGTGCATTCTACTTCATTGCTTATTATTTTTCTGTTGAACTAATGTTTAACTTCCCACAACACTTGCCCTTATTATGGACTGCTGAAAATGCTCGTGTAGCAATGTAAGGCATACAGTGCTACACTGAGATACAAGTGAAAAAATGGCAAATGAGGATGCTAGGAGAGAAGCAGATTTTTCCCCCTCCAGTCATTCAGTCTATGGATAGTAAGGGAATAATTATCTTGGATAAGACTTTTTCTTTGGAACTTTACTGCACATATTTGCCCAAAGCTACCCTGAGGGTTTAATTGGATGGAGTTGGCTCGTTGTAGCAGGATCACTTAAGCGTGAACGGATATCCTCTCTTTACTGTTTTATTTATAGGCTAAAAACCAAAAAGACTGAACAAATAGCATGGGCTCAGGACTCATTCCTTGTTTAATAAGCACTTGCTGAATTTGGGGTGATGTTTATTTGGATTACTCCATTCAGCCCTGGCAGGCCTGGGGACAAATTAAGCCTTGGATAGGGGGGGGGTGGAAGCAGCGGGGCCAAGGATGATGGGGGTAGGGCAGGGAGGCAGCAGGGTGCTGGAGCCCGAAGCCCCACAGCCAGAGTCTGCCGCCCCATCACCCCAGGGTTGAAGCCCAAAGTTTGAGCCCCACTTCCCCAGGGAAGGTGGGGAACTCACCGGCTGCCTGCTCCTCCAGGTGTCTCCAGAGCCCAACCCCTCTGCTGGTGGCCCCAGCAACCAACACCAAGGCGGTGCATCCAGGAGCAACAGAGAGGGGGAGGGGCCGCTACTTTATACCCCCTCCCCAATCAGTGTCCAGGAGGCTATGGCCGCAAGAAAAGTCCCTGGTGGCCACATGTAGCCACAGTGACCGCATTTCAGAAACGCTGGTCTAGAGTCTCAATATATGTTAACTCGCACTATGGTTTTGCTATACAATTACATGACTAGGTGGCTACCTCTTAACTTGTTTCCCCTATTAATAGTGATGAAAGTGAAAAGTTAGTCAACATGCAACAGAATCATCTGTATTCCAAGAACAGATATGCTTCAAAAAGGAATGTTAGCAGTTTCCTCTAACACCTTGTGGGATAGCTGCGGAGCTGTGAACATTATCAGAACTTCACAGCATTCACCTTACTTGCAAATATATACACATCACTCCAAGGGCATTTCTTTCATAGTGTAAAACCACGTTTTCAACTATCTGTTTGCCTCAAGACCTCACTACATTGTAAGATACACTCAGGCACATAATAGGATTCTGGGGCTGCAGATACAGGAATCACATATTACTGGAAGTTAAAACACATTTTATATAAAGATATTCTTATGAATTCAGGAATGGCAGCACCATCATCCATAGTTCTAAACTGCATGAGATCTCTCAACTGTCTTATTCCATTTTACATACGTGACTCTTTTTAAGAAGCTACCCCAATTTTTAAACTCAATTCGTTGAGGCGGTCAACAAGCATGTGGACAAGGGGGATCCAGCGGATATAGTTTACTTTCAGAAAGTGATTTTCAGAATGCTTTTGACAAGATGGAGCTAGGCTGTTCTCAATGGTGGCAGATGACAGAAGAAGGAGCAATGGTCTCAAGTGGTAGTGGGGGAAGCCTAGGCTGGATATTAGGAAAAACTATTTCACAAATGGGTTACCTAGGAAGGTGGTGGAATCTCCATCCGTAGAGGCTTTTAAGGCCCGGCTTGCCAAAGCCCTGGCTGGGATGATTTAGTTGGGGTTGGACTAGATGACCTCCTGAAGTCTCTTCCAACCCTAATCTTCTATGATTCTAAGATCCCTCACCAAAGGCTCTTATGCAAAGTAAGCGGTCATGGGATAAAAGGGAAGGTCCTCTCATGGATCGGTAACTATTAACTGGTTAAAAGATAGGAAACAAAGGGTAGGAATAAATGGTCAGTTTTCAGAATAGAAAGAGGTAGATAGTGGTGTCTCCCATCGGATCTGTAGTGGGACCAGTATTTAACATATTCATAAATGATCTGGAAAAAGGGGTAAACAGTGAGGTGGCAAAATTTGCAGACAATACAAAACTACTCAAGATAATTAAGTCCAAAGCAGACGGCTAAGAGCTACAAAAGGATCTCACAAAACTGAGTGAGTGGGCAACAAAATGGCAGATGAAATTCAATGTTGATAAATACAAAGTAATGCACTCTGGAAAACAATCCCAACTATACATATAAAACAAAAGGTTCTGAACTAGCTGTTACCACTCAAGAGAGAGATCTTGGAGTCATTGTGGATAGTTCTCTGAAAACAGCCACTCAATGTGCAGCGGCAGTCAAAAAAGCGAACAGAATGTTGGGAATCATTAAGAAAGGGATAGATAATAAGACAGAAAATATATTGCCTCTATATAAATCTATGGTACACCCACATCTTAAATACTGCATGCAGATGTGGTTGTCCCATCTCAAAAAAGATATACTGGAATTGGAAAAAGTTCAGAAAAGGGCAACAAAATGATTAGGGGTATAGAACAGCTTCCATATGAGGAGAGATTAATATGACAGGGACTTTTCAGCTTGGAAAAGAGACAACTAAGGGGGAATATAATAGATGTCTATAAAATTATGACCATGTGGAGAAAGCAAATAAGGAAGTGTTATTTACTCTCTCTTGTAACACAAGAACTAGGGGTCACCCAATTAAATTAATAGGCAGCAGGTTTAAAACAAATAAAAGGAAGCATTTCTACACACAACGCACAGTCATCCTGTGGAATACTTTGCCAGAGGATGTTATGATGGCGAAGACTATAACAGGATTAAAAAAGAACCAGATAAATAGGTCCAGGATGGGAAGGGACGGTGTCCCTAGCCTCTGTTTGCCAGAAGCTGAGAATGGGCAACGGGGATGGATCACTTGATGATTCCCTGTTCTGTTCATTCCCTCTAGGGCACCTGGCATTGGCCTACTGTTGGAAAACAGGATACAGGGCTAGATGGACCTTTAGGTCTGACCCAATATGGCCCTTCTTATATTCTTATCAACAAAGAAAAATTACTTACCTGTACAGTAACTGAAATTCTTCAAGATGTATTATCCAGATGTGTATTCCACTCAAAGTGCACATGTGCTCATGCGCCAGGATCAGACATTTTTGCTAGCAATGTCTGGTCCATGCAAGCGCCCCGAACACCTTCGTGCCAACAGTACAAAGAGTGAAGCTGATTTAACTATCACTCCAGTTCTCCCTCTATCGCAGAGTCCTGGCATGTAATAGGACTCCTAAGCAGAGAGAAAGGAGGGCAGGTTGTCGAATACACATATGGACTATACATTTCAAAGAACACTAGTTACTATACAAGTAAGTAACTTCTTTGAAAGCTTGTTCCTATGTTGACTCTATTTGAGATGAGTCCCAAACAGTGACCTAAATAAGTAGATGGGCGCTTAGAGTCTTACCCAAATAGAGAGTGACGGATTGTTCTACTGAAAGAAGCTTCCACTCCGGACGCCTCTGCCACAGCAGTGTTTAGCAAGCTATGTATGGAACCCCAGGTGGCAGCTTTTAAAGTGTCAATAATAGGGACTTTTTGTAAAAGACAGAGCTCAAGCCTCCAGAGTTCTGATGGAATGGGCCTAATATGTTGGAACCTTATGGAATAAGTCCAAAGAGATCCACTTTTAAACATGCCTTCCCTGGACTTTTTTGTCCATCTAGCCTAGAAAAGGACTTGCATATTCCACACTTTGCTGGCATATATGATTCCTCCAGACCAAACAGACCCAGATTGTCAGTCATTCTAGGGAAAGGCTCTCTCACAAGTGGTGCAGTACTTCAAACCAGGAGATTTTGTATGAGACATCATCCCTAAATAAGAAAGCTTTTGATAAATGAAAGGGGAGAAAACAGGGGAGGTGCAAAGAAGTAAATTCTCAAAAAACCTGATAACTATGACTAATACAACAAATTGCCAGATGTCAAAAAACACTAGCACTAGTAACTATTAAAAACTACTCACAAAATTCTTAGAAAAGATTTGAGGGATGCATATACTGTAGCCCTCCATCTTAAGCCTAGGGAAGAAAAGATGAACTGGAGTAGCAGCTGATCTGTCTCTGCCCTTTATACCCTCGGTATGGGACATGAGGGAGTCAGGGGGGTTTTGTTTACAGGTATAGGTATTTGCTAGGTAAGGCATAAGTATAAGCTAAAGCAATAATATAATGAGCCTACGAGGCACGTAAGACAATAACAGTTAAACAGTCCATAAGGCCCAAAAACCTTAGCATAAGCAGTTAACCAGGAGGAACCTTAGATCATAAGGTATCATAAGACAGAATGCTGTAATGACTAAACTGCTGACAGGTAATCACAACATGCTAGTTTATACCAGCTTGGGATATTTTAAATTAGGATTATAGCAGATGTCTAACCACAAGAGTGCCATGGTAACTAATTGACATATATGCTAATAAGCTTGAAGTAAAAGGCCTAGTAACCTATGGGAGAAGGTAACCCAACATTAGCAAGGTGAGGAAATACAAATAAGGAAAAGGGGAGTAGGCAAAATGTGTCAGCATAACACATTATAAAAGTTGTATCACAGCCTGTGTGCACTGGGAGATGCAACTCTTGGGAGGTGCCAGGATGATGACCATTGGTGATGAGGAAGATAATGACTAATACTTCAGGTTCTCTTGCAAGGGCTGGTGAGAGTATGTGGATGCTCAGATGCACATTCTGTATTACCTTTCTCTACCTTGCGAGGTTGGGGTGTTTGTAACTTTTCTAATGGTCTTAGATACAGCGGGTTTTTCCTAGGTGAGTGTGTTGAAACCGTGCACATCAAGGTTCCCAAGAAACCAGTAATTTTAATACTATTGGACCTGATCTTGGGACAAGAACCTACCAAACTCAGAGTGTCAACTGGGAATTCTTAAGTAATCGATATAATTAATACACAATAGATCTGACAACAGTCCATGTGTGGCCTAAACAGACATGAAGTAAAAATCAGCGGTTGAGACCACATGTGCACCTCAAGTGGTGCGCAAACATGGACAATCACCGGAAGAACCACCAGATTATATTTCATATTACTAAGGATATAATTTTGTCTCAGAGTTCATAGATTCCGTGACTTTAACAGACCTCCGTGACTTCGTTGACTTCAGCCCTGGCAGCTCTCGATGGCAGGGCTCAGACTGTTAGTCCCCAACCAGGTATTTTTCATAAAAGTGAGGGATAGGTTGCAGGCTTCCGTGAATTTTTGTTTATTGCCTGCGACTTGTCATGACTTTTACTAAAAATACCCACGACAAAATCTTAACCTTAGATATTACATACAAAAGCCTCCTTTCTCTGGATTATCTTCAGTATCCAACATTCTCCTTCATCAGCTCTTACCTCTAGTAGCAGCAGCGTCTCTTGCTCTGTCCATTCTCTTCCAGCACTGGCTCCCTTACTCTATAAAGGAAGAAAAGTCAAGATAGATTAATTATCTTTGCAGGAGCACTACTTTGAGAAAAAGAACTTCTTGTAAAAGCAGCAGCTGTAGTGGTTCTATCTACTACCACAGCCTATTAGTCACTCTTCCCAGCAATCCTGCTATAGTTGATCATATCGCTGCTTACCGTAGGCAGCTGTCCAGTCTGCAAGAATTACACACAGGAAGATAGGAAAGTATGTTTAACTAAGATAACACTTGCACAGTAGACAGGTTGGATTGTATTAGGTGTATAATGGATACAGTAATGTGCAGTTTGAGAGACTGAAGTAGTAGATCGTTACTAGGAAAACTATCCTCAAAAAGAAAAAAGAATCTCCACGGATAACTGATAAGGAAATGCAAGCTCTCTGAAAAAAGATGCATTCTCTCCCTGTAACTGCTTCCCTCAGTATGAGTATTTAGCACAGCAACATTCCCGAGTTTACTGTATTTACACCAAACTGATTTGGGAGTTACTTAAAAGTTTCCTTGAAACTACAGAACTCTTGGAGAGGATACTACCACCAGCTTCAGCTGATATAAACACCCCATCACAGATGTCAAAGCTTCCCTCATAAGGAGGGAAGGTTAATGGGGTTATGTAGTTCTGTGTAAGACACTGAATTAGTGCCAATAACTTATCCTTTCCCCAAATATCTGCACAGAGTACAGATCACTAACCCATGCAACACAAATTAAAAGTGTCAGCCATCAGACTCTCACAATTCTTACATAGGCGGTGTGAGTGCTTGAAAAGAAATTGTTACTCTTAAGGGCATTCTGTGCCAAAAAGTTAAAAATTATGCATCAAAAAAATAAAAATTCTGCACACAATTTTTTAAAATTCTGCAAATTTTATTTGTCAAATAAATGTGGAGGCTCCATCCAGCATGGCACTGGACAGCACAGGCCACTGGCTGCACAGAGGTGGGAGATCACTGTGCAGGTCCCGCAAGGACACAGACTCAGTGGTGAGGCTGCACTCAACCCTGACATAGCGCAAGGACCGGGCCTGCTCCAAAAACACCCCAGGGCCCTGCCCCTCTGTGGCGGGTGCACCAGATGTGGGCGGGCAGGCAGGCAGGCTTAGCCCAGCCCAGGCAGGATCCGTGTGTGTGTGGGGGGACGGGGGAACGGGACGGGACACGACAGGGGGAGAGGTATCCAGGTTTGGGCTGAGGAGCCATGGGTGCAGGAAGTGGGTGGGAGGAAAGAGTTTGAGAGCTTCCTTCAGCTGGGGGAGAAATCTGAGGGTGGGTGTGACACAGCCCCAGATGCCGTGCAAGGGAAGAGGAAGTCCCATCCTGCCCAGCCCAGCCGGGACTAGCAGCTGAGCCTGCTGCAGGATAGGAGCCACCAGCCAGGTCTTCCCCAGTCCCACCCCCGGCCCCACAGTGATTTACCTCCCTGCCTGCTTCTCTGGGGCCCCCGAAACATACTGCTGGGGAGGGTCGCATGACTGCTCTTGTGGCTCCCCTTTGATTCCCCATCAGAAAGTCATTTTTCTGTGGGGAAGCAAAGAAATCTGCAGGGGACATAAATTCTGCACATGTGCAGTGGCACAGAATTCCCCCAGGAGTAAATTGCATGTACACAAAAGGAAATCACTTTCGGAGGGGGGGGGGGAGGGGGAGGAGAATCCCAAATCCTAAGTCCATTTTTATAATTGTGTTTAAGAAGTGTCGAGGAGCACCTAGAGAAAAGGATAGGCACTCTCACTGAATGAGTATCAATCAAAAATAAGCGAATAAATCACACAATGAAATCTGGTATGGGTTGAATACCGATTTCTAGTAGGTACCCTCAGTCTTTACAACAGTGTGACATTGTCAATAGTAATCCTCAATCTGTGTGCTCTTTGGGACAACCCATACTGCTCTTATGGAATCCACATCCAAGCAGTCAGTCTGGTCTCAACTAGAGCGAGTGAAACGATGATCTGAGAAGAACCCTATATAGTTCCCGACATGAGGCAGCACTGAATAAATGGACCAGGGTTTCTAGGATACCCGAGTACTGCCAAATACCTTCTCTCTAAGCAGCCAGAAGGGCAGAGGGAGAGAACAGTGTGAAATGCAGCAGGCAGCCACAGAAGCATGGCATTTTGTCTTGACGCTGCATTGCAATGGTGAATCACAGCATTAAATCCGTTTGGGACATGCTGCAATGATGGTGTGTCAGAACATCACTTCATGACTTGGCTCAGAGAATCAGGCCCTTTGCTGATGAAGTGACCTTCCAGTTCTGTAAGACTGAGGAACAATGTCCCATACGAACTGGGAAAACAGAACAATCTATACAAAAATTGACTAGTGGGAATTACCTCCCAACCTCCTATGAAATCTATTTTGAAACATTTAGCTTGCTGCATGCGATACCTATGATGAGAAGAGCCCTACCACTTTCACAGCTGTGAAAAACGTATTATGGTCAGTGAAATAAGCCCTTCCCTGTGATATCCGATCTCCTCACATGCTGCTGGGAGTGCCCCAGCTGGGGGTGCCCCAGCTGGGGGCGCCTAGCTCTAGCCTGGGCCGGGGAGGGACAGTACTTCAGCTTCCCCTACACAGCCGCTGTTGGTGGGGAAATCAGACCCTCACTTCTGTGCTGCAGCAGTTCCAGAGCTTGACTTGGGGTGCTGGGCTTCTACCCCCAGCAGCTCGAGGCACCAGAGCTCAAGGTGCCCATTTTTCTGGAGGCCACCAAATTGGCTGGAGCCCCTGGGCACTGGCAAAAACCAGAAACTAGGAGCTCCCAGCTGGGGTGCTCCAAGCAGCACAGGGGAGATCGGACCCACTTCCACAAACTTCTTCCAGTTGCACGAAGCTCCAGGGTTGCTACCCAGCTGCAGAGCTTCCTGCATCTGGAGGAGGTACTCGGAGGTGGGTCAGATCTCCCTGGTAGAGGGGCCACGCAAAGGAAGAGCAAGTCCTGTCTCTCACCCAGCCGGCTGGGACTAGCAGCCCCTGACTGGGGCACTCCCAGTAGCACACCAAGATCAGACTCACCTCCAGATGCAGGAAGCTCCGCAACTGCTGTCTTCAGAGTTCAGCAACACAGAAGTGAGGGTAGCAACCTCACAACCCCCCCTACAACAGCTTTGTGACCCTCCCCGCCATGATCCCCTTTTGGGTTGGGACCCCCGCGGTTAGAACACAGTGAAATTTCAGATGTAAATTTTAAAACGCTCTGACCATGAAATTGACCAAAATGGACAGTGAATTTGGTAGGGCCCTAATAATGAGGTAGGAATTCCCAGAATGTTTGGAGAGGGACAGTGCTGATGAGCTTATGGGAGTGTAAAGGTTTGTATTTCTACTGCGTTAATTACGTTTCAGGCATCTGGCACAACTACAAGAGGCCACAATTTAGAATATTGTCCAGGTGGAAGACACATGGGACAAGGATGGAGGAGCAGCAACATCCCACCTAGTGATTATGTAATGACTAAGGTTTGTGGAAGAAAGCTCAATAGAAGCCAAAGGGAAAGAAAAACCAAGCAACTTTACCTTTGCCAAGGTCTTCTTTGAGTAAATGTCTGTGCGAAGTCCAAAGTTCTGCAGGTCAGTAGGCTTTTCTTTGTTTTTCTCAGGAAAGCTCAACATCTGCTGGGCAGCAGGGACCTAAACAAAAACCCCAAACAAATGATCATCAAAATGCATCTACACAGGTGTGCACTGAACTAGCATTCTCCCCACTCACCACTATTTACACACAAAACTAGCAAATTTGGGTTTGGAGCGCTGCAACTGTAGGTGCAGCATTACTTTACAGAATGATGGAGAGATGGAAAATCTACTACTAACAGAATCTCACTGAGACTGAAGGGCATGTGAAGAGAAGGATGCATTTTTTTCAGAAAATGCATGAGCTACATACTTCATTCAGGTACGCACACCACTGCCCGTAGCTACAGACCTACATTAAGCCATTCCCAAAATACATGTACCACTATTTCTATCTGAATAAGTGTGCGCACATGGACATGGTGGTGGCACCTGTAGGATTTACCTGAGGAGCTCGGAGATGAAGAGGCATAAGTCCAGAGGGGGTATCAGCAAGCACGTTGAAGTGAGGAGTAGGAGGAGGGCCCATTGCCATGGGACGGCTTTCTGGATCCACTTGGTAGTTAACTAGACCCCACTGCTCCAGAAAGGCATGCACTCTAGGAAACAACATTACATGATTAAAGTCTGAGGAAACAAACCCTCAAGCACATCTGCAGCTGCAGAAAGAAGATACCAGGGAGAAAGTTCAAGTGTGGAACTGTGATGCGTTTGCTGCAAATCAAACACAGGCAGGTTGAGCACTGTCCTATAGCTGCCTACACTTCTCCTTTATCACAGACAGGGAAACAGAACACATTGCATTAATTCTCAATGCAGGCTTGACAATCCCACTTCTCTGCATTCAACAAAATGAGAGTGGACCGACAATTTCAATTATGGGCAACGGGAAACCATTTCACACAATTCAGAAAACAGATCTAAAGCTAAGCCCGCTGATGTGAAAACTTCTTTGGAGGAGGGGGGGTGGGGGGGAAGGGGAGGGGGAGAGGAGAGGAGAGGAGAGGAGAGAGAGAAAAGAGTGGGATGAATTGTGATAGTTTCCGTACTATGCATCAGTTAGCTTCCACCATCTGCCTCAGGGTGATTGTGCATCAGTGATGCTGTATGTATGGAGTATAACATGCTTTGGAATCTGTTGCACAAAAAAAGCTATTTTAAAAAAGTATTTATCACAATACAGATATAAGATGCTCACTTGGCAAAAAACACACAGTGAGCTGCCATACTGGAAATTCTAAAAACATACTAAAAAAAACTGCATGGTAGAAGCTGAATATCACTGTATTAGTTAACATGCAATCTCTTGCTGGTCTCGGAGCCATGTTCACAGTATTTAACTTCCACTGTTATATTCACTGTCAATAAGGGTCTTATAAAATGTGGAAAAAAGGAAAAAAAATGATCTGCTAATAGAAACATAATTGATGCGCCCAGGCCCCAAGTCTTCTACCTCATTATGCAGGACATATAACTTACAATTTGTAATAAAGCAGCTTTGCTGGGATAAAATGTATTGTTACAGCTAAGGGTAGTGGCTGCAAGATTTAAGATTTTACCTCATTACAGCACATACATCTCCAGTCAAGTTCCTTCTGCAGGCAGTGCTGGTCAAGTACTCCTGAGGGTTTAAGCGATACGTATCAATCATGAAGTTACGGTAAGCCAGGTATCTGGAAAGAGAAGGCAGTTCACAGACATTTGAAAATCTACACAGGTTCATAGTATGTGTCATTTCAAATTCTGACCATTATTAAAATATCTCCATGTTGGCCCCCATCCTTCAATATGTACAGCAAGCCAGGGGTGCCTGATATTCAGTTCAAGGACCATAAAGTCCTAAAATGCAAACTTATAACTGCAGGGTGACAGTGAAGCTGAAGACCTGCAGGGTTTTATTGTTACTCCTAATGAACTTTGCAATCAATATAAAGCACAAGAAGTTAAGTGTGTATTTCTTTATCAAATTTGTTTGTGTAACATCATCTGACTCACCCCCTAAGCATTTTATATTTGTGTCTATTTAGTTTTAATCAGGGTCCACATCTTTCTGTGTGTGTTGTCAAAGTATCAACTATTCTTTATGTGTTTAATAAATAATCCGCAAATTAAAAGTAGCTCTCAGATTGCCAAAATAGCTCTCTCGTTGTTGTGAAATATAAGCAGGCAAACCCCCCTCTCCCTCCCCCCCGCCCCCCAAAAAACAGAAAAAAAGTGAAAAAGCTCATTCCAAATGAGGGGCTCAACCCTGGCATTTAAACATGGCCAGAATCATTAACAATTCGTTGACATTTTTGTTTTGGTTCCAGATGTGCTTTTCGGCCATTGACCCAAACACTTAAGATGCCTAAAGTATTCACACGGGTACAAGAGATCCCCCATACATTGTCCGCTCAATGCCCTTCCCTATCAGTCTGCAAGCCTGGCTGTAACTTGGGTATCACATAACTAGGCACCAACAGCTGAAACAGCATTCCAGGTCAGTGGCGCTTTATAGAATAATCAGGGTTGGAAGGGACCTCAGGAGGTCATCTAGTCCAACCCCCTGCTCAAAGCAGGACCAATTCCCAACTAAATCATCCCAGCCAGGGCTTTGTCAAGCCTGACCGTAAAAACCTCTAAGGAAGGAGATTCCACCACCTCCCTAGGTAACCCATTCCAGTGCTTCACCACCCTCCTAATGAAAAAGTTGTTCCTAATATCCAACCTAAACCTCCCCAACTGCAACTTGAGACCATTACTCCTTGTTCTGTCATCTGCCACCACTGAGAACAGTCTAGATCCATCCTCTTTGGAACCCCCTTTCAGGTAGTTGAAAGCAGCTATCAAATCCCCCCTCATTCTTCTCTTCTCCACACTAAATAATCCCAGTTCCCTCAGCCTCTCCTTATAAGTCATGTGCTCCAGCCCCCTAATCATTTTTGTTGCCCTCCGCTGGACTCTTTCCAATTTTTCCACATCCTTCTTGTAGTGTGGGGCCCAAAACTGGACACAGTACTCCAGATGAGGCCTCACCAATGTCGAATAGAGGGGAACGATCACGTCCCTCGATCTGCTGGCAATGCCCCTACTTATACAGCCCAAAATGCTGTTAGCCTTCTTGGCAACAAGGGGACACTGTTGACTCATATCCAGCTTCTCGTCCACTGTAACCCCTAGGTCCTTTTCTGCAGAACTGCTTCCTAGCCATTCGGTCCCTAGTCTGTAACAGTGCATGGGATTCTTCCGTCCTAAGTGCAGGACTCTGCACTTGTCCTTGTTTAACCTCATCAGGTTTCTTTTGGCCCAATCCTCTAATTTGTCTAGGTCCCTCTGTATCCTATCCCTACCCTCCAGCATATCTACCACTCCTCTCAGTTTAGTGTCATCTGCAAACTTGCTGAGAGTGCAGTCCACGCCATCCTCCAGATCATTAATGAAGATATTGAACAAAACCGGCCCCAGGACCGACCCCTGGGGCACTCCGCCTGAAACCGGCTGCCAACTAGACATGGAGCCGTTGATCACTACCCGTTGAGCCCGACGATCTAGCCAGCTTTCTATCCACCTTATAGTCCATTCATCCAGCCCATACTTCTTTAACTTGGTGGCAAGAATACTTTGGGAGACTGTATCAAAAGCTTTGCTAAAGTCAAGGAATAACACATCCACTGCTTTCCCCTCATCCACAGAGCCAGTTATCTCCTCATAGAAGGCAATTTGGTTAGTCAGGCATGACTTGCCCTTGGTGAATCCATGCTGACTGTTCCTGATCACTTTCCTCTCCTTTAAGTGCTTCAGAATGGATTCCTTGAGGACCTGCTCCATGATTTTTCCAGGGACTGAGGTGAGGCTGACTGGCCTGTAGTTCCCCGGATCCTCCTCCTTCCCTTTTTTAAAGATGGGCACTACATTAGCCTTTTTCCAGTCATCCGGGACCTCCCCCGATCGCCATGAGTTTTCAAAGATAATGGCCAATGGCTCCGCAATCACATCCGCCAACTCCTTTAGCACCCTCATATGCAGTGCATCCGGCCCCATGGACTTGTGCTCGTCCAGTTTTTCTAAATAGTCCCGAACCATTTCTTTCACCACAGAGGGCTGGTCACCTCCTCCCCATACTGTGCTGCCCAGTTTTACAAGGCCTCCACACTTGATACTAGACTAGGTCTATGCCTTCAGACTCAATCTTCCACCACTCCTGGAGATGACTGCCATACGGGGCAGCCTTTTTCCACAGCTCAACCAGTTTTTAGCCTTGTAAACCAGGCATGCCACACAGTGAAAGATAGCGGTTGCAGAATGGTAAAGTCCACTTCCAAATGGTTCTCAGTGTCAAAGCTAAAGGTTCTAAGATCAGTATCAGTCGTCTGTCTAGTTATGAATACCTCTGCCCGCAAGCTCTTGCGTGAGCATTGGCCAACTCATGCTTCAACTGAAGGCCTACTTACAAGAGGCACTCAGAGCCTTTAAAAGTGATCGAAGGGATTCATAAAACTTAATGGTTTTCAGAGACATCCAGGCAGCTCTGACACCCATGCATGTAACATTCAACACCAAAGCACAGGAATGTAGCAGTTGTGCTTGTTCTTAACTGATGTCTTTTTGCTACAAGTACATTACTTAAAGCTGCTGTCGCTTAAGGGAAGACGAGGATGACATGCTGAAAAGGAAAAATTTACTCCTGAGGGAATTCTGCACCAAAAACTAAAAATTCTGCACACAATATTTTAAAATTCTGCAAATTTTATTTGTCAATAAATAAATGTTGCTCCAGGACAGCAGTGGGGAATACAGGCGACTGGCTGCATTGAGGTGGGAGATCACCCTGAAGCTCCCGCCTCCCCTGGTATAGGGACTCGGCAGTGAGGCTGCACCTGACCCTGATACAGTGCAAGGGCTGGGCCTGCCCCAGAAACACCCAGGTGCAGATGAGAAGGCTCAGTCCAGCAGGATCCAAGTGTGGAGGGACTTGGTGTGGGGGCATCCAGGTGTAGGGTGAGCGTTTCTGTGTGGGGCAATCTGGGTGAGGGTGGCTCAGTGCGAGATCTGGATGCACAGGGGCTCATTGGGGGTTTCGGGGTGCAGGGGCAATGGGACTCTGCAGGTGATCCAGGTGAAGGTGGTTGGGGATCAGCAGGGGGCTCAGTGGGGGGTCCGGGTGCTGGGGGAGTGGGGCTTCTAGGTTGGGGGTCCAGGTATAGTGGTTGGGGTCAGGGTGTGGGGGGCTTGGAGGGGTCTAGGAGTAGGGGGTAGAGCTTGTCAGGGTGAGGGTTCGATGGCCCGGCATAACGGGGGAGCCCCAGCTGGGCTCCCGCTTTCCCCCGTGACTCCCCTATCCCCTTTTCTTCCCCATCTCATCCCCCTCACTCTCACATTGACCTCCCCCTGCCCTTTTCCACCCCTGCTTCCTTCCCCACACCTCTTCTTCCATCATTTTCCCCAACCCCCGCTTATCCAGCCCCACCGAAGGCACTCACTGCTGCACAGAAAACAAGGAAGCCTCGCAGCACACAGAAGTGAAACACGACTGGCACTAGGACCCAGGGTGCGGCGTTCAGCTGAAGAGTCAGCAAAAGCCTAGACGCAGCCTCCTTCAGCTGGGTAGCTCTGCGCTTGCAGAAATAGGGGGGAGTGGCATATAACCCCGTGTGCCTCCCTATGCCTCCCCTCTGTTTTGGGAAACCCCCCCCCCAAAAAAACCGCACCCATGGCCCCAAGCACAGGAATTCTGCAGGGTGGGGGTATTTTCTGCGGGCATGCAGAATCCCCCAGGAGTAAAAATTGCACTAAGTCAAACTGAGCCCAAAGAATGCTGAGGCGTAACCTGCAGAAGCGCAGAGAAAATTTCAAAGCGCCTCAAAAACACTTGAAGTGGCAAAGAACGACGCACCAAAACAAAGGAAGCAGAGGAAACTGGAAAGAAAGGGGTAACAGGAGAACTGATTCAAGAAAGAGTCATGAGTCATGGGGCCAAGAAAATCATTTATGATTTTTTACTCCCATTATTTCTAATTGACTGTCCTTGTTTGGGCTGGAGTAGTGGGGAGCGGAGATGGAGGATGAGGGGAACTTGGCTGCCGGTGGAATTGGCACCTATGGGGGGGCCTCAGGAAAAAACTCCATGGGCAGCATGCAGCCCGCATGTTTGAGACCCCTGATTTAGGGAACACAGCCACATGCCTATATCTATGCATTTTACTTACATTTCTGGAGTCTTGGACTTGTTTTTCCCATTGAAGAACTCTGGAAGAGCGCGGCGTTCAATTACATGAATACTGCAAGAAAGTGTGATAAGCAACATGGTTACTAAAGAGAATATACAAAATCCAGCTGCCAATAGCTTGAGTTCACCTTCAAGAACTTTTACCCACCCGTAACATGCGCACCTAAAGTGCGAACATTTAAAACGAACACTGTACACACACCCAAATATCCCAACACAGCATATAGAAATATATCCTCTAATTACTTAGTTTTAACCACATAAGCAGAGCAGTTTAGACATGAATTGTCAAGATTGTGCTTAATTCAAGTGATGGAAAGATACATGCCCAACGTTCCTTTAATCAGACTTGGGGGGAGTGAGAGGAAACAAGATGTTCAACCCATAAAACAAGATTTTTACACTAATGTTTTGAAAGTTTATAGGTTGATAAATGCACTCGCCTGCACCCCAGTCTAATCAGTAGAGTGTATTCAGCACAGGTCTGATTGCCTCAAAAAAACCTAAATGTTTGCAATTCATATGTAATGGTAAGCCTGCAACTATCTGCTTCAAAATCACGCAGCATTAGAATTGGGAGCTCGTCGCTTTGAAAGTCAGGCAAATGCCTAAATAGGCATTTAGGAGTATTAAGTTTATGATCCTATATTTCAACATCTTTGCACTAGTCAATTTAAAATAAAAAGAATAAAAAATTAAATTGAATTCAAGCTCTGTCTGTTTTGGGGGGATTTTACAATCTCATTTTCTTACAAAAAATTCTCTTTCTGCTGCTGCCCTGTGAAAGATGCACACAAATAAAAGAGGAAACTGACTTATTGTACAGCAAAACTGAGAATACACAAAGTGCTATCAAACACACGAAGTAAACTAGCCCAAAGGATAAAGTAAAAATTCAGTTTAGTTTAGTCAGTTATTTAATGCATTACATGTAAATACTATGGGGGAAATTTCAAATAAAAGGGGAATTTTTTAGTTGACTGAAGGGGGATGAAAGAAGACTACCATTCTACAGCTTTTACTAGACTAGCTGCAAGTAACATATGCTGTAGCAGGTGAAGAGATTTCCGTTAGTTTCTCTCATCCTTCAAATAAAGCGTAAGAAGGAAATATGGTTTGCTGATCTGTTACTTTAAAAAAAAACAAAGCAAACTGATCAAGACATTTCAACTTTAGAGTAATTCCACCTCCAGAATTCTATCACCATAAAGCTAGTCAGTTCCTTTTGTGCAATACACACGAGGTAAATAGAATATGAAAAATCATCTTATACCAGGCTATGAAATGTAAAGTGCAAATAGAAATTCATCCTGCTTAAAAAATCAAACTTGTCAGCCAAAATTTATATGGTCCTTGATTATTCAACTCATTTCTCCATGCTTTAATGGATGAGCTCTTTCCTGGGTTATGTGTATTAAAACAGCAAGGAATACACAGTATTCTGGATATAATTCTCTTGCCATCAACTGAACTATGAAATAGCTTTTCTGTTTTAGGCAATGATAAAAAAAGTCAGCCCCATTTTGTAAAAGACGCTTAAATGGCACAGTAATGAGATTCCCTCCATAAAATTACTTTAATAAGCTCATACAATGACAACTTTTTTTGTATGAAGTTAAGAATTGGGGACAATTATGATGGCCTTTAGATATAAGTCCTTCTTTGGAGGACGGGATGGGGGCATGGGGAGAGAAGAAAGAACACTCCTTGTAAAAGAAAATCATAGCAGTTTTTCCTTCAGATACTCATTCTCTCTAGTATGTATTATTTGCGTTGAAGTAGTACGCAATGACACCAGTCAGGATCCGGTCATGCTGGTGCTATACAACACACACAAACTTTTTATTTTATTTTTTGCTGGAGCCAAATGATATTAGCCTTAGAATGACTTTGTCCATAACACTTTACAAAATATTTTAGAAAACAGTGTCTAGTCTAAAGCAACAAAGAGTCCTGTGACACCTTATAGACTAAGGGATGTATTGGAGCATAAGCGTCATAGTGGACATTAATGATCTAATGAGCAGTTTTGTATGGGTCTATAGAAACACAGCACCAAGTTTCTGCCAGTCATGTTGCACAAACTGATTTAGCTGCCTGAGAGACCCCATTAGGATTATTACTGCTGCTATAAACAGATTAATCTGGAATCCTCTTAGTAGACAACCTGCAACTGAAATATCAGGATTTTGCCTGAAAGCCCCAGCATAATTGTACCTTGATTCCGAGTGAGGCCTCTGGGTGGTACCGTAATACAAAATATTCTCTCTCTCCAGTACCAGAGTACCTAAGCACCTAACAATCCTTTAATATATTTATCCTCACGACAACATTGCGAGGTAGGACAGTATTCTTAACATAAGGACAGCCATACTGGGTCAGACCAAAGGTACATCTAGCCCAGTATCCTGTCTTCTGACAGTGGCCAATGCCAGGTGCCCCAGAGGGAATGCACAGAACAGGTAATGATCAAGTGATTCATCCCCTATCGCCCATTCCCAGCTTCTGGTAAACAGAGGCTAGGGACATCATCCCTGTCCATCCTGGCTAATTGCCATTTTTTATCCTCATTTTTAGGCACAGACACTTTGCCCAAGGGTCATAGTTTGGCAAAGCAGAAAACTGAACCCAAATCTCAGGCTAATGACCTAACCATTGCATCTCTTTCAAATAATAATAATGAAAGACGACAACTAAGATGACATCTGACACATACGATCATTTTGTGAAAATTTGGAAACGTGTTAAGGATGCATTTGTATAGATTAGAATTTGCTGTCACAGCTGCAACAGCCTAGAACTTCAACAAAGGAAACATCAATGTTATAACCCTAAAATGGCACACAGGCAAAGAGGTCTTCCCCTCAAATGATGGCCACTTCAGGTTAGTGACAATCTCTCACCTGAGTTTTGAAAACATGTATTTTGAAAAAAAATCACTACAGTCAGGGCTGGGTTTCCAGACACCAGTGATTAGCAATTCTAGATATAGTCACTCAGACTTCTCCTCTTCCACTCCCAACACACACCCAGCGTTGGTTAGTTCACCTAGATCTCTGAGCTACACAGTCATAATAAGCTGGACACTCCTTATAAAAAAGGATGAAGGGGAATTCAAAGACAAGCAGACATTCTTCCCCCACAGATAAAGTCCAAAGAATAAGTAATCCTTTTAGAGTCAATATTTGAAATCCATGATGGTTAAACATTTCCCATTTCTAGAAAAATTAGCGGCCAAGGTAGGTTATGGGTGAGCAGGAAGGTTATTGGCAAATCTGGGACTCATGAAAAATAAGTCTAAGCAACACTAGCCAAGGCAAGGCATACCGAAGACAGGTACTGTGCAAACTTCTCCACCTTAATTCTAACCTACCACAAGCCCTACAAGGCTAAGAACAAAGAACTTCTAATCACATTAAGGTGCATTTTGCAATGGGGATAGCTGTCAAAAAGGCGCTAGACCTAAACTAAATTAATTTCTGCTTGCAACTCAACAGAATTCCAGCCCAGGTATTTAACTGGCGAAAGAAGGTCAGTAACTCTCTGAATCCTCTCCCCATATTTTGTTCTTACCAGTTGTAGTCAAACCATGATGCATAGCTTGGAATAATTATGTGATTGGTCTGTTCTGTGACATTGTCTTCACCCGGGTCAATGGATCGACTCTGATCACCTTTGTTGGGATCTTCATCTTCCTACAGCAGGAGAAAGACAATAAAAGCGTTAAAAATGGGGGGAG